AACTGAGAAGGAGATACTTGCAGCATATGAAGGAGTTAGAGCCGCTTCAGAAGTGATTGGCACTGAAGCGCAGCTCCTCCTGGTGCCCAGATTACCAGTGCTGAGATTCATATTCCAGAATAACCTTTCTCCTATCCGTCACGCCACGGACATGACTTAGAGTAAATGGACTGCCTTAATCACCCAACGAGCCCAAATAGGAAGACCTAATCATCCAGGTATTGTGGAAGCAATTACAAACTGGCCGGAAGGCACCCACTTTGGAATGCCACCACAAGAAGTGGTGAAACAGGCTCAAGAAGCTCCACCATATGATCATCTACCAGAGACTGAGAAACTCTTTTCACTGATGGCTCCTGTCGTCTTGTAGGGAACCACCTGAAGTGGAAAGCTGCCGTGTAGAGTCCTACATGACTAGTTGCACAAGTAGCTGAAGGAGCAGGTGAATCAAGTCAGTTTGCAGAGGTCAAAGCCATCCAGCTGGCTTTGGACATTGCTGAGCGAGAGGGGTGGCCAAGACTCTATCTCTACACTGACTCGTGGATGGCAGCAAATGCCTTGTGGGGTTGGCTAAAGCAGTGGCAGCAGAACAACTGGCAGCGAAAAGGTAAACCTATTTGGGTTGCCGAGCTGTGGAAAGACATTGCAGCTCGGATAGAGAAACTGGTTGTAAAGGTGCGTCATGTAGATGCACACGTGCCTCTGAGTCGAGCCACTGAGGAACATCGACACAACCAACGAGCAGATGAGGCTGCTCAAGTGTTCCAAATAGACTTAGACTGGGAACATAAGGGTGAGCTCTTTCTGGCTTGATGGGCCCATGACACTTCAGGTCATCAAGGCAGAGATGCAACATACAGATGGGCTCGTGACCGAGGGGTGGACTTAACCATGGACGCTATTGCACAGGTGATCCATGGCTGTGAAACATGCACCGCAATTAAGCAGGCAAAACGGTTGAAACCTTTGTGGTATGAGGGGAGGTGGTCAAAGTACAGGTATGGGGAGGCTTGGCAAATTGACTATATATCACACTGCCTCAGACCTGCCAGGGCAAGAGCTATGTGCTTACAGAATCATCACCATCATCATCATCAAGGTTGGAAAAGACCTTCAAGATGATCAAGTCCAACCATCAGCCCTACAACCGCTAACCACTATGCCATCTCCCTGAACACCACATCTACCCATTTTTGGAACACCTCCAAGGACAGTGCCTGTACCACCTCCCTGGGAAGCTTCTTCCAATGACTCACCACTCTTTCTGTGAAGAAATTTTTCCTAATAGCCAATCTGAACTTCCCCTGGTTTAACTTTACCCCATTTCCTCTTGTCCTATCGCTAGTCACTAGAGAGAAGAGGCCAACACCCACCTCACTACAAACTCCTTTCAGGTAGTTGTAGAGAGCAATGAGGTCTCCCCTCAGCCTCCTCTTCTCCAGGCTGAACAGCCCCAGCTCCCTCAGCCTTTCCCCATAAGTCCTGTTCTCCAGACTAATAATCATCTTAGTTGCCCTTCTCTGCACCCTCTCTAGCACCTTGATGTCCTACCTATACTGCGATGCTCAGAACTGCACACAGTACTCAAGGTGAGGCCTCACCAAGGCCAAGTAGAAGGGCAGGATCACCTCCCTGGTCCTGCTGGTCACACTATTCCTGATGCAGGCCAGGAAGGTGTTGGCCTTCTTGGCCACCTGGGCACACTGCTGGCTCATGTTCAGCTGGCTGTCAGTCAACGCCCCCAGGTCCCTCTCTGCTGGGCAGCTCTCTAGCCACTCCTTCCCAAGCCTGTAGCGCTGCCAGGTGTTGTTGTGGCCAAAGTGCAGGACCTTATTTGGCCTTATTGAAACTCATGCTATTTGCCTTGGCCCATTGGTCAAACCTGTCTAGATCCCTCTGCAGAGCCTCCCTACCCTCAAGCAGATCAACATTTCCACCCAGCTAAGTGTCATCTGCAAACTCACTGAGGCTGCACTCTATCCCTTCATCCAAATAATCAATAAAGATGTTAAACAAGAGCAGCCCCAGCACTGAGCTCTGGGGAACACCACTTGTGACCGGCCACCAGCTGGATTTAACTCCACTGAACACAACTCTTTGGGCCCAGCTGTCCAATCATTTTTTTATCCAGCGAAGTGTGTGCACATCTGTGTGCACCATTTCCCACAACATCCAAGCCACGAGCAGCCAGCTTCTGTAGGAGAATGCTGTGGGAAACCTTGTCGAAGGCCTTGCTAAAGTCAAGGTAGACAACATCCACAGCACTTCCCTCATCCAATAAGTGTGTCACCCTGTCGTAGAAGGAGATCAGGTTAGTCAAACAGGACCTGCCCTTCATGAACCCATGCTGACTGGGCCTGATCACCTGGTTGTTCTGCAGGTACTACATAATGGTACTCAGGATTATCTGCTCCATCAGCTTCCCTGGGACTGAAGTCAGACTAACAGGCCTGTAATTTCCCGGATCATCCTTCCATCCCTTCTTGTATATCGGGGTAACATTGGCTGATTTCCAATCTGCTGGTACCTATCCAGTCAGCCAGGACCGCTGGTAAATGACAGAAAGTAGCTTGGTAAGCACCCCCACCAGCTCTTTCAGCACTCTTCGGTGGATCCCATCTGGCCCCAGAGATTTGTGTCCATCTACATGGTGCAGCAGGTCACTGTCTCCTCCTGGATTGTGGGGAGGTTGCTCCTGGTCCCTGTTGCCTAGCTTAGGGAGTTTGATTCCCTCAACATAACTGGTCCTGTTACTAAACACTGAGGCAAAAAAGTAATTTAGCACCTGTCACCATTTGACTCAATTTGACAAAAATGCTCTCGATCCCCTCCCACCCAGGTAGGGAAGGAGAGAGAGAATGAGGAGAGAGACACACTGGATTGAAAACTAAACTACACAGCTTTAATTAAACACCAATAATAAAATAAAATATATACAATTATATACAAATGTGTTCAGGTATGTGCAAAAGCCTCTTGCAGAAGGAAGAGCCACCCTCCAGGATGAACTAGACAGGCTGGAGGAGTGGGCTAGCAGGAACCTTATGAAGTTTGATGGGGAGAAGTGTAAGGTCTTGTATCTGGGAACACATAACCCAGGAGTGCAGTTCAGACTGGGATCCACCTGGCTGGAGAGCAGCCCTGTGGAAACGGACCTGGGGGTCTTGGTGGATAACAGTCTCAACATGAATGAACAGTGTGCTGCAGCAGCAAAGAAGGCCAACAGGGTGCTGGGTTGCATCAACAAGGGCATCACCAGCAGAGATAAAGAAGTCATCATCTCACTCTACTCAGCACTGTGAGACCACACCTGGAGAAAACTGGGTTTGTTCAGCCTTGAGAAAAGAAGGCTTAGGGGAGACCTCATTACCACGTTCCAGTACTTAAAGGGTGGCTACCAAGAAGATGGAGACTCCCTATTTACAAGGAGTCGCATGGAAAAGACAAGGGGTAATGGGCACAAGTTGCTCCTGTGGAGATTCCAATTGGACACAAGAGGTAAATTTTTCATCATGAGGACAGTCGAACATTGGAATAGTCTCCCAAGGGAAGTGGTGGATTCCCCCACTTTGGACAGTTTTAAGTCTCAGCTTGACAGGGTGCTGAGCCACCTCATATCAACTAGAGTATCACCTAGAAAGGTTGGACCAGATGATCTTTGAGGTCCCTTCCAACCTGGCATTCTATGATTCTAAATTAAATTAAATTAAATTCCCCAAGTTGAGATTGTTTTGCTTGCGACAGTGGGCTGATGACAAATTCCAATATTACTATAGCATTACTACACAAATCCTTTCTGACGCATCCAACAGATCCAGGATAAGCATGCACTTATGCATGCCTGTTTACATCTCCACCCCTGATGTACCAGACTCAGTAATGATTTAAGAAAAAAAAAAGTTTAATCACTTCTCCGACTCACATCTTTGCACTTCTCCAGTGGTTTCATTTTATATTTTAGACCACACAGGACAAAGAAAGTACACATGTATGAGCCCAAAACAAATCCAGCTCTCTTAAAAGTGATTCTGTAAACTGATAGTCAGAAGCCCTTCCCCCAGAACCCAGAGAGCTGAAACCAGGCACAAACCCTGCAGGTATAGGCACTGGCAATGAAGAATGCTTCAGCAGTCGAAGTCACACATGCTCCTGATGTGAGTTATTAATTGAAATAAGCAGAATTTTGGGAAAAAAAAAATCACATTTGGTGAAAAAATCACATAAAAGATAATGAAAGGGACATGCAGAATATAAATAGGGCCCAGATAACAGTGAAACAGTAAGAATTAGACAAAATAAGATTCCAGTTAGAGAAAAACATGCCCCAAGTAGTCAACAGTCTGGCCTTGAGACAGGCCTGCAGGACACCTGCAAGAGAGATGAAAGGGATGGAAAGGAGTACTCCCGACAACTTATCTTGGTTACAGCCTTGAGCACTGGAGGGAAAACACTGAGCAATTGAAATCACCATATTAGCATATTAATGATCCGTTAGCATACTAAAATATCCACCCACAGGCTAGAGAGACCCTTACTAACAGAAAGCCCCTTACTCTCTGAGCATGCGTAGTGAAATTTTTTAGCATTGCCACTTTAAATGGAAGCGAGGAATTAGTTGACCAATCGTGTGTGAATGACAGAATAATGTTAGAGATAAAGTTCTTTCTCGCGGTTTTGGGTATAAAAGCAGCACTTGTGTTTCGGGAAACTGAGCTTGTTTTATGGAATACCACCCTGCTCCCTTTTCTACGCAGAACCGGATATTAAAGCAAATATCCCGACTCTGTGTGTGGACCGGCTTCTTGCACATCGAGTGACGGACCCCGCTTTCGGGACAAAACTTCCACCTAAGTTTCGGTTGAGCAACGGAAAACCCACGCCAGTGGCACGTGCGGCCGAAGATACCCCTCCCCCGCCAGAGGAAGGAAGGAGCACACAGTCTCGTACAAACTCAGCAGAACAAGAAAACGGCATGACAAGCGGTACGAGGAGAGATGTACCTGCGTTTCCGACAGGTGCTGGATAGATGTGAGAGTCAATGCCCGTTCCTCATCCTCCTCAACCGAACCAAAACTCTGAAAGGAGGAAGACCACAACGCCATCCTCGCCACAAACTACACAATACTGACTGAGCCTCCTCGACCCTGAACCGGATATTCCTGTTGCTTGAGGTCGTTACAAGCTTCCCCGGAAATGACACTACACACTACCTCCAACGGCAGGCGTAAGGCTTATTTCCCCTCCCTCCCCTTGCAAATTACTCCGCCGCTGGTCCAGATCACGTGGATAGATCCAGCCCTGCCGAGCTAGGGGAGTCTCAACGCAGTGTGACATGGGAGGTTGGGGTGTGTGTGGTCTGTTTATCATTAAGTCTGTTTTGTTGGTTTGGTAACTCTGAAAAGTTTTTTAGGGAAATAGCCTTGCTGAAGTTGTCGCTGAGTGGAACGTGATTGGTTGTGATCTGTTTTCAAGTGTCCAAGGGAAAGCCTTTAGTTCAGAAGTCTCAGGAACAGCTCGGTCTGGTCCGCGAAGTCCTCTGCCTTCTGAGCTGATTACTGTATGTGTATCTCAGCTTTACTTCACAGTCACAGGTTTGGATGTTGTTACAGAACAAGAGGTGATCGTTGAATCAGTGTGGGAAGTGGTTCTTTATGCTGAATCAGTTTTGTAACATATGCAGGTCAATGTTTAGCTTTTGCTAAAAAAAGGAATTATTTCTTTATTTTCTTTTTCAGAGTTACATGGGATTTTTCTGTAAAGATGGAGGGCCAGTTAGCAGTCTTTGCTCCTTCCTCATCTTCATCTAGAGGCTACTCCAGGAATTAATAAAATGTGCACAGGTCTACTCTAGTGTTGTAACATGTGCATGCCGGTTCTTTGAAGGTATATGCATGTACCCAAAGGATTGCCTGTGCAGACAGCACTGTTAAGCACATTAAACACATCACGTTGGGCTGACAGACTTTTCGTTCCTCTTTCCCACTGAGCAGTGCTCAGTGAGAATTCCCTGCACCGTTCGCCTAGTTACACAGAGCTATAATATCCGCATGCCGGTAGCCATGGTGTTCTTGCATGGAATGTTTGAGTCTCCATAGCAACTTGATGCGTCCCCCTCAGCGGCTTGTAGTGGCAGCTCAGTGAGCTGTGCGCAGGGGCTTGAGAGCTGCCGGCCTGAGAGCAGCCAGATTCTTTTTTGCGCCCCCTATTTCTATATCCATGTCCCCTTGAGTTGCTAGGACCTTCCTTCTCTCTGTGGCTGGCAGCGGGACCAAGATGTCTTTAAAGTAGGTAGTGAGCTGCAGATTCACACAATTAAGTGGGAACCATGTCTGAGAGAAGGAGCAGAGAGAGCATAGACAAAGTTCAGGAAGGGAGCGGGGGAGGGGGGGGAAGAGCTGGGTGAAGGCCTGGAAATTCTACCTCTGATACAGGTATGGTAAGGTTGTAGAAATCTACCTTCAATACTGCAGAACCCTGAAATATGACACTCCTGTGAAACTCAAGAATACACACACAAATCTATGCATTCATAAAGAGATGCATGCACACATATATATGTACATACATGTATACATGTATGCACCATTGAAGAATTTATGTCACCAAGAGCTCATGGTGAAGTTCTTAATTTTATAACAGCTTGGTTTCTATTTGGGAATGACAGTTAAGGGAAAAACAAATGTTTAAAGGCTACTATGAGGGAATAACAACTGTACAGGGGTGTCCTGGTTTGAGCCAGGATTAAGCCAATTTTCCTTTTACAGTTGTTTTTTTTTTTTCCTTCACTAAGCTTTCTTTTAACTAGCAACAGTGTGTCCTAGCTAGGCTGATAAGACACTGGAATGTTTTTCTAACTGCTGTGACTTCAACGTTGCACCTTTACTCTGCCAGCTCAGACACTACAGGGAGATCTGTGATCCCCCCGTAGGAGGCTTAGTTAGACAGACAGCAAAATGGGCCAGAGATATTCCATTCCATATATCTACGTAAGCTAAGAGGAAGGTCAGAGATCACAGAAGACAACTTCCTTCCTTCTTATTCTTCCCTTCTCTTCTGTCCATGGCTGGCGTCTGGGGAGGACTCCGTCCATCCATCACCATTGACCCTTAGACTCGACCCCTCCTGACCCTCATCACTCTCCGCTTTCTCCAGTAGCAGCTCTGGGATTTCTCGGGACTCTCCCAGCTCAGGGGAGTGCTGTTTTCCCTACCTGGGTGGGAGGGGATCAAGAGCACTGTTGTCAGACCCTAGTCAAATGCCGACAAAAATTTATATTTATTTACACCCCTTATTCCACACCATATATTACATATAGGCTCTGTACTTTACCAGCTGTCAAATTAAGGATTCTCTCCCAGAGTCAGATTACCTTGAGGTACACATTGTACTTCACCATCCTCCATCATCACACACCAAGTATGTTCAGGTACCTGGGCAAAAGCGACACCCCAGACAGGTTTACCTTTGCCTGAAG